GATTTTTTTCTCCCCTGACCTCACTCTCATCTCTGAGAATTGTTGCCTATGTTTAACAACACAGGTTAACCAGGTTAATGAACTGTTTAAAGTAATTCCCCATGAAAACAGGGCACAGCATGTTACTTCAAGAATTCCCACCACTGACAATCAAACTAACATTGTAAGAAGTTGGTGAATGTTGAAAATTACCAGAGAGCATTAGATAAATTTTCTGGCCGCTCCACTCATAACATCTGGCAAATTCATCTGCTAATTTGCAAATGAAAAGCATATACCCAGTAAATATTAAACTGATTCCTCTGGTTGTGCTGCAGAGCTGGTTCTGCATGAGTGCACAAAAACAAATTTCATCCTCATATGTGACACCAGCTGCTGTTCTAACACATGTAGTTCTCTTGATAATGAGAGTTCTGACATTACACTCTAGTTCAGAGGATTTCTTTATTTGCCCTCTTTTATTTAAACAATATTTTTAATACACTTGGTTCTCCTTTACTCACAGAGGTGGAAAAATCTGGAGAACAGACCTGTAAGCTATGTGGCCTCTGTGCTCAGTCTCAGAGAACACCTCCCATCACCCTGAGTAGTTGCCTTCACTTATTTCATTTCACTCATCACTGACAATTCTTCAAGATACATTTTTAGTATTTAGTCTTGTTTACGTGCTGCTGTTATGTCTGCTTTATTTTTGTTGTCATTCTATTTTCTTTAATGATTTATTCAAATTAATTGTTATCTGTAGCTTAGCCCCACTGCTGCTGTGTAGTCTTTGCCTGCAATCTTGTCTCCTTAAAGGATCAAAGTTTTATTTGATTCGTTCCTAAAAGCATCTTAGCACAAAGCCACCAAATCTGATTTCTCTGTTACACAAGATGCAGGCTGCTTTGCTGGACCACAAGAAGCAGCTGTGAGCTCTGCCTGTGACAGAGTGTTGCTGTGTAAGTTCCCAGTGGCACTGAGTGTGTGCCACCTGCCTGCTGCCTGTAAGGGAGCTCTGATCCAGCCCTGGCTTTTGGGTATCTCCTCTCAGCTTTGAACATCCCAACTTACCTCTCTACATCTGTCTTTTTCACTTTTTAGATTAGAAAAAAATGCTACTTCTCATCTCTGAGCGAATATGAATTTTAATTCTTCTGAATTATCATTCAGTCTAATGTTGCCTCTAAGCCCTTCTAGTGCTGCTTCCAGTTCTGAATTGAAGAACACTTTTAATTCCTCTGTTTCTTTCTAGTATTCCCACAAAAGGTGTCTTGAAAGTAGGAGCCACTCCGAAAGAGATGTCTGAAGACTTTTATTTGTCAGTTAAGGTTACTGTCAGATGTACAGGGTTGGCCAAAAATTGCATATGTGTATAGCTTTAGTTTCATTAGCTTGAGCAGAGAAACTGCAGTTTTACCAAAAGGGGTGGTTGTGTGTCTTTAGGCATCCCAGATGGTCACTGAGTTGCAAAGGGGACAGAAACACGTAAGTTCCTGCCTCATATGTAAAAAGTTCTAGCATTTTTATTCCGTCTCTTGCCTGAAGAGGCAAAGTTCAAGCTGGTATGCTTAAGATATTAATGTGGGGTTTTTCCCCTCCACCATAGAAACAATAAACCAAACCCAAAACACCCACCACAAACAAACAAACAAACAAAAAAACCCCAAACAATAAGTCATTATAGACCACACTTCCAGCTTCCCAACTGCAACCTGCACCAAAAATGCCTTTCAGCTGCCTGAAGAAAAAGTGGCAGCTGCCAGTTCTGTGCAGTTCTCTGCAGTTGCTCATCTGGACCCCCAGGCTGAGTGTTCACTGCAAGCTACTGCTAGAAATGCTGATTATCACTGGATGTCCAAAGGCCACCGTCCTGCCCTGCTATGCTCCACAGTAACATCCTCACCTGGGGCTTACGTTTTTTTGCCTTCAGATATGGAGGCCAAAGGAAGGGAAGGCACTGAGCAGGAATTAATGTGCACCCTGAGCTTCTGCTGAAGTCAGGGAGTGATCATAATGTGGGATAGGCAAGTCAGCAGGTGGGCAGAGCTGTGGCCTTGGTTTAGGAGGATGTGTGTAGGTGGGTAAGATCAGGCATGAACAGCCACAGAAACATGTCAGAGACTGAAATGATTCTGAAGGGAAGATGCAAAATACACTTGATTTATAACAGCTTGACAGTGAAAACTTTCTGTGGTGAGGTCTGTAAAGCTAACTCCTGAAAGCTAACGTTCACAGTTTGTATTTCTCAACAGCTGCTGTAGCTAGATGTCAATCAAAAGTTGCCTAAATATTTTATGGTGGGAATAATGAGCTGAAGCTGTATGGATGACAAGTTACCTGTCCCCTGGCTTCCCAGGTATGCTTTTTTCAGATCAGAGTCCTCTGATCCTTATTCACAGACACAAAGTATGAAGCTTACCACTGTTCAGCAAAGAAATTAACCTTGATTAACAAATAACAAGCAGCTGTCCACACACCAGCCTCAGGAGATAAAAGGGATGAAAGGGAGAACTGTGCTTCTTGGTGTAGGGAAGTCTGACTTGCTTAAGCTATGGGAAGAGAATTGCTCTTCAGGAAGAAGGAAGAGGTATGTAGCTCACATGAGCAAGATTAGCCTTGGCCTTTCTACAGAAATAGGCAATATTATCTGGGTAATAGGCCTATAGCTGGGGTGAAGAGACGAACAGATGGCAGAGCTCTGGTATAGAGGAGGATTGGTTTCCTCAGTTCCTTCGTGCAGTGATGAAAATCCTAGCAACAATAGTGTGGAGTTGGAAGATGGCTGTATGACTATAAGGAAGTAAATTCGTAACAATGAGAACAAGACCACAAGCAAGGAAAGCAGCAGCTTGTCTAACTCTTAATATCTTTAAGGCTGTCTCTTTGGAATATCTGTTTCTCCTGGGGTCAAGACTGCATTCTAGCAAATTTTCCTTGTGGAGTGTGAAATACAGGATGTCATATCAGATAACCTAAAAGCCTCTTTGGCCTTGAACTCTGTGTCCCTCACTCTTTCAGATTGTTGCTTCCCATAAAATACTGAAGTTTGTACAACCTCTTTGTTATTCAGTGGGCAAACATTGCATATAAAATTACTAGCCATGATTAACAACAACAAAAGCTAAATCCTTCTCATTTCGCCCTGAAATGCCAGGGGAGAAATCGTAAAGGACTATTTCTAGATTAGGCAATTCAGATCAAAGTAGAAAACATTATTAAGCTTTGGTCAGTAAATGTTTATTGATACGAAGCACTACTTAATCCACTCTCTCTCTGAGGGGTTGCTTTAAAGCTTTTTGTCTTCTTCAAGCAAATAAAAGCAATTTCTACTGCAAGTAATTATCGCCCACTTAGATGTCCTCGTGTGTCCCTTTCCTCCCCAACCCCCCCCCCAGTAGTTCCTCCTGCTCTATATCGTTTCACTATCTTCCTTTTAAGGCTGTACTTTCTCCAAACTTTGTTTCTAATCGGGTTATTACCACTCATTAAGACACTGCCCTGGAAGCAACTAAACCAAACCGAATTGTAATGATTTGCAATATATGCTTTTTATCTCTGATAGTCTGTGTATCATGCTTAAACGGTACAATTTCTGTAGCACTTGTCTGCCTGCTACCATCAAGATGCAATTTACTTGTGATTGTTAAAAATTACGCTTAACCACACATCTCGCATCTCCGGTAGGCTACTGCTATCTGTGCATCCATTTCCGTCTCGAAGGAAGTTTTGCTCTAATCGGTTGTTTGCAACCACTATAAATACACGTTTGGTGGAGCCGGAACAGCAGAAGTACAGTGATTTTTTTTTTTTTTTTTTGAGAATTTTCTTTCAGATAAGAATACGACTTAATAGGTTGCGGACACGCGCCGCCGTGATTTGAGCACAATATCCTAAAGGTATCATCAAGCACTAATTAACTTACCGACTCTCTTAAGGCGCTACGGTGCGAAAAACCCAGCCGCGTTAGAGCAAATTTAGATGGCAATGTCTATTTTTTCCTTTTCTCACGTAAGGAGAAGCCCCCTAACTCCCGCTCTCCCCGGCGGGATGCTCACCTCCCCTCCCCGGCGGGATGCTCACCTCCCCTGCCGGCGGGATGCTCACCTCCCCTCCCCGGCGGGATGCTCACCTCCCCTCCCCGGCGGGATGCTCACCTCCCCTCCCGGCGGGATGCTCACCTCCCCTCCCCGGTGGGATGCTCACCTCCCCTCCCGGCGGGATGCTCACCTCCCCTCCCGGCAGGTGCGGCGCTTCCCCCGCCCCTCCGCAGCCCAAGGCGGATTCCCGGCTCCGCTCCGCTCCCCCGCCAGCGGCTCCTCTCGGCCGCGTCCCTGCGGGCACGGCGGGAGCGCAGCGCGGGGGCACCCCTGGCCCGCAGCCGGGGATGGAGGGGGCTCCTCGGGGCCGGCCCTCAGCGGGAGCAGCGGGACCCGCGGGCTGGCTCGGCGGGCTCGGCGGCCCCGCGGTCGCTGCTGTGGCCCGGGCGGGCGCGGCGGCCCCGATGGCGCAGGCGGCGGAGCGCGGGGAGGGGCGCGGGCCCTACCTGGGGGCGGCGGGCGGGGGCTGCCCGGCCATGGCGGGACCCTCCGCTCCGGCGGGCTCCGGGCAGGCGACAGCGCGGCCCCGGCGCGATGCGGCGGCGGCGGCACCTCCCGGCCCTGCCCTCTGATCACTCCTCCCTCCCCCGCCCGCCTCGCCCGTCCCTCCCTCGCCCGCTGCGCTCCGCGGGGCAGCGCCGCCCCTCCGGACACCGCATCCGGGGCAGCGCCGCTCCTCCCGGACACCGCATCCGGGCAGCGCCGCTCCTCCCGGACACCGCATCCCGGGCAGCGCCGCTCCCCTCCCGGACACCGCATCCCGGGGCAGCGCCGCTCCCCTCCCGGACACCGCATCCCGGGGCAGCGCCGCTCCCCTCCCGGACACCGCATCCCGGGCAGCGCCGCTCCCCTCCCGGACACCGCACCCCGGGGCAGCGCCGCTCCCCACCCGGGCAGCGCCGTCCCTGCCGCTCCTCGCACCTGCGAGCCGCTGCCTGGCCGCGGGTGCCCGGGCGGGACATGCGGGAGGGATGCAGCGGCCGGGGTCTGTGTCGCCGGAGCGATGTAGCGCCCGCTCCGGGATCGGGGCGGCCGCAGGAGTTGCTGGCGTGTTGTGCGCTGTCTGCGGTGCGGGAGCAAGGACGTGACAGCGAGGTGCTGGGTGACGGTGGCTCCAGCAAGGAACTGGCGATCGTTGCCGAGTCCTCCTCGCGAATGTCATGATGTTCTTCGAGCCCCAGCCCCGTAAACCATGTGATTTACATGACGGGGGTTTCTGTCTGTTTAGATGTGAGACTCAAGCATTTAGAAAAGGACCCTACTGAGTTAGCTACAACTTACGTCTTGCTTTAAGCACCTTTAGACTGTTTTATTTGGTTACTTTCAGTAAAGTTCCCCCCTCCCTCCCTTGTTTGTTTGTTTGTTAGTTGGTTGGTTTTTCAAAAAAATACTGAGTGTCCTGTGGCTTGGCTCTGTCGTGTTTGCATAACCATGTTGGAGAATCTGTGCAGCACAAATGATTAGAACCGGTCTGTAGTCATGGAAAGGTGAGATTAAAAGCACCTGAATCACAGGTGATGCATGGTGCAAATGTATAGTTTTGAACCCAGAGCTAGAGAGGACACAGAGCCTCCTGGGTTCAGCAGGACTCCTTTGGCTCAGGTGTGAAATTTGCAGGGCTTGAGACAATTGTCACGACCTCGATGCTGCAAGATTCTCCTTTTGCTGAGACTTGTTTCCAGTAAGTTTAGGATCTAGGCCAAAACCCAAGATCTGCTCTGTCCAGTTAGGTGATGAGTATTGTCCTTTTGTTAGTTATGTAGCAAACACTGCGCTCAACAGAGAAATTCAGTAGTAAAACCATAGCAAGGACTTACACATATCCCCAAATACTGCTGAAAGCTTGACTCCTACATGGTGAGCCCTGTTCTTTAGTCATTGCTCTGTTCAGAGATTTGGTGAGTGAATTCAAAGGCAAAGAGGGAGGGTAGGTTATAAGGGCAATAAATCCATGCTTGGACAACCATCTTTTTCTTTTTTCCTTTTTTTCTCCTGCAACAAAGATTCAGCGTTTCTCTTCTTTAAATACATCATTCCTGTGACTTTTCTATACTTTGCTATTCCCTTTAGTTGGCACAACGTTATGAAATCATGAAGTTTAGTGAGTTTTGGAAGGGCCTGGGGCATGCAGAGAGAATTATTTTATATATTAAATCAGGTTTTGTTCTCTGTTCCAATTTAAAACGCAGAAATTTCTTAAACCAACTCTGCAGCCAGAGGCATGGTAGCACTTAACCACTGAACCAACATTTTTCATTGTGAGGAAGGGCTACCTGAAGCGTTTGTTCTTGGTGACTTTTGCATAACCAAGAGGAGGAAGTTTCATCTTGATTTTTAAATACCTCTTCAGACTTTGTGGTAAGGATATGGATTTACCCCTTCTGTCAGCTTGTGAAGTGACAGCTGAGAGATGGCAAGGCTAATACCTGCATTGTGGTGGTGAAGGGTAAATGGGAATCAAAGCCAAGGGAAGTATTGGGTTTTGAATGTAAACTGGAAAAACTGAGGAAACTAAGAGACATAACAGCCTCTGAGGGGAGTGTTTGAGACATTCTGACCTTCTCTGCCAGCCCATCTAAGAGCATAGAGACCTGAGACAGCTTTCCTGGTTCTGAGTGACTGAAAAGTCCTGAACTCCAGATCCACAGTGGCTTTAGCTGCTTAAATGCAAGCCCAGATTAGCACTGGAATCAGTTGTCTGCATCAAACATCTACTGAGTACTTAAATGTCAGCCCCTTTGACATGGCTTCCTTGTCACTGTGTTGTACTTTCCTTGTGCCCTTCAAATGCTTTTGCATCCTTTCATTCCTGGAAACAGATCATTTCCTCTTCCTTAGTTCTCCCTTTGCACATTCTGTGTTTTGGGGTCACTCAGACTCCCAGGTCTATTGTGTCTCTTATCCCTGTAGACTGTTTCTCATCAGCCCTTCTCTAACAGACACCACTGCTCTACACAAGTAGTGCTTAATATTTTCTATCACCTTCCACTTGATCAGTTACTTTAATTTCATTTATCTTTAAGGTGCATCAGATTTCCAGTTTTGTATTTGAAATGTTCTTTTTTTCTCTTCCTCGTGACAGTATTTTCTCTCAGATAAATTCAATCTTGTCGCCACTGAGCCTCTAATATCTCACATGTTCTTCCTCGCTCAGTGGCATGTCTGCTCCTCCTTTGCTGTCATTATCTGATCCATTTTCTGTCACTGTCAGTGTTCTTTTGCCCCAGAGATTTCCTCTTACCTCAGACTGAGACCATGTGTGGCACTGCTGGACAGGGTCCAGTGGAGGGCTATGAAGGTGATTAGGGAACTGGAGTGTCTCTCATGAGGAAAGGCTGAGAGATCTGCACCTGTTTAGGCATGGAGAAGAGATGACTGAGAGGGAATCTTATCAATGCATACCAATATCTTCAGAGCCAGTGGTGTCAAGATAATGGGGTCAGACTTTTCAGTGATGCCCAGGGCAGCAGGGCAGCAGACAAAAACCGAGCACAGGAAACTCCATCTGAATATGAGGAAAATCTTTTTTTACTTTGAGAGTGACAGAGCACTAGAATAGGCCTCTTCTCTTCTCTTCTCTTCTCTTCTCTTCTCTTCTCTTCTCTTCTCTTCTCTTCTCTTCTCTTCTCTTCTCTTCTCTTCCTCTTCTCTTCCTCTTCTCTTCCTCTTCTCTTCCTCTTCTCTTCTCTTCTCTTCTCTTCTCTTCTCTTCTCTTCTCTTCTCTTCTCTTCTCTTCTCTTCTCCTCTCTCTCCTCTCTCTCCTCTCTTTCTTTCTGGGTTTCAGAACAGCTTCTTCAGTATTGTTGAGATGCTTTTCTTCTGTTATGAAGGAAAAGGACAGAGAGACCTTTGGTTACGGACTCAGAAAGGAAATGACCATTTTCTCTCAGTAACTTTGGCACTTCAGAAGTTCATGACAGGTTTTCTACTCTCTAATTTCAGGTTGTCTGCTCTTGTGAGTTGTCAAGGGTAAGAGCTCTGTGACAGAAAAAGAGAGGAGAGGTTTTTCCCTCATTAGAGGCGGGGATATTTGTAGCTCAGTCTCACCTTTAGGTTTGGTTTTTGTTCCCTGATGTGATATGACTCTGTACCATCATTTTTCCATCATGGACACTGCCACTCATCTGTCCCTTACTCCAGCAGATAGAACTGAGGTTACACACAAACTGGTTCTTTGGTTTTTACCACATCCTTGTAGTTGATATGAAGTTCTCTGATTCTCACCACATAATTTGATTTCCTCTTTTATTTTTTTGCATTATTAACTATTGTCTGTTTCCATCATCCTGCAAAAACTCCACAACCATGTCTTGTACAGACATGTCCTCTTCTGTTGCTTCTTCTTGCTGTTTCAGAGCCCTTCTTTGAGACAGCCATTATGACTTGACTTCTTCACAATCTACCAGAAGTGTGCTTTTCTCAGGTAGACAGCTCTCCTCTTCCCTAAAAGCCCATAATCTTTATTTCTGAGGGATGTAGCCAAGTAATACTTTGTGCTTTTGTTCTTATTCCTTGACAATGTTGGCACGTTGCCTAAAATAACTATTCTTTTTCCTGGAATCTGACTTGACAGAAGAGAACTGATTACTGTCACACACTGACTTATATCAAAGCTGTCACCAGGAGTGTGTTTTTCCCCTCAGCTTTTAGGTATGAATTGGCAACAGGAAGAGAATACTGTGGCATTTTAGTTAGCTGTCATCTTTTATGTGTCAGCCCAGGACAGTGTTCTCCTACTGGATAACAGAAAGTTATGGTCAGAGAATACAATATCCTTATATTTTAAGGATAGAGATTATTCCAGTTGTCAACATTGTGCATAAGATTTTGCTGGGTTTGACTTTTATCAAAACCCAAAGAGGTACTTAAAAACAATTAGTCAGCCCTTCTGTTGGGAATGTAAGCAGAATAAACTGCTGCAGAGTTGTGCACATCCCAACTGTTTGCTGTGCAGTTGGTGTGTGCACACAGACTACTGTTAGGACAGATATGTAGTTAGTCCCTTACAACTAAACTATATCCCTACTCCAGGGAATGTAAAAGGGGTGATATGTGGTTGTTGTGCAGTCATTTTGAAAAGTTTTCAAAGGGTAAATCATCCAACGTGGTTTATATTTATTTACTAGATGTTTGTTTACTGAAATGAGTTACATTTGGCTGTTATTACCACGTGGTTGATTATCGTACATAATTAATGACCTCATGTACTGTCAGGTTATTGATGAGGTTGCATAATTCTCTTTGTGTTGTTGTTCAATACATTGGCTGAGTTCTGACACTGTACATGGACACATATCTTTTACCCAAAATATCAGGTGTATTTTGCTTGTAGAGTTGCATTGGTTAAACTGTAACTGCTTATACTGAAGATTAGGTAGTTAGCTTTAATATATTAATATGTTTTAGACAAGAGGTTCTTGTCCAATACCTTTTTCACCTGCATTTTTGTTTGTTTGTTTGGGGTTGGGGGTGAGGGGGTGTTTTTGGGTTTTCTTGGTTTGTTTGGTTGGGTCTTTTCAGTTACAAAATCTTGTTCTGTCAATTGAAGTGCTTTTCCTTTTGAGCTGTGTACTTGGGCTGTGACTAAAGCACCCTCAGCTAACAAATCAGTGTTGAAGAGGTGCCTTAGTGTGTTGTAACAGTTAAGTAGCATGATTTAATTTATATCAGAACACATCTAGCTCATGAGATTCTTACTGGCAGTGGCCAGGAGCTTGAGGGAAAGGCAGTTGTTGAATACAGTAAAAAGAGAATGGACAGTGTAGGTTGTGCTGAGCTCCAGACTGCATGGCAAGGCTCCCCATTTAATACATGCAGATTGTTACCATACAGCATGGGTGCTAGATCTACTTGTTTTTCATCTATACACATATCTGTAACTACAAAGAGAATATTTTCTAACATAACCACAATTTTCTTTGAGTTAATATGCAATTTTAAATATTAAACCCACTCAGTCTGTCTACCTGTCTCTCTCTAACTCCCAAACCTACACTCTATTTTCAGCCTACCTGCATTCCCAGAAAACATCGAGGGAAGAGAAGGGACTAGGAGATTGCACTTCAGTTCTGAAAGATCAATCAAGAATGTTAAATTGATCCCAGATCTTTGAAATTCTGATTGGTTTGTCATCACTCTCACTGCAGTAAACTTAGAGAGCTCCTATAACTGAGTG